TTTGCATTCTCTTAATGAATAGAATGATTTGTTCTAATGGTGTTTGTAAATAGGATCTCAAGTCCGCATCTTGTACAGCAATTAACCACTTAGAAGAATATATGCAGTGTGTCATTTGTTGAAACTGTACTTCCGATTTGATTTGAAACTGTCTCATTGCTATCTGTTTATCAATAAAATTTTGGAAAAAAAAAACACCTCTTGAGTTTCATTCTGGGTAGTCCCTATTTTTATATCTAACATTTTTGTCTTGTAAAATCTCTAATATGGAGTTAATCTCAGCTAGTGTATTTTTTTATCTCATACACTATATTTTGCTTCTATAGAAAATTTCACTTGGATCTTTATCATTCCAGCTTGCACATGCCTTTTTGAACATATGAATAGAAGCTATGAAATATATGCATAACATTCCTATCAGATTTCATTATTTTCTACAGTATGAATCATATTTTCCTGCTTCTTTACATGCCTGATGATTTTTATTAGATGTCAGGAATTATAAATTTTACTTTCTGAGAGATGGACTATTTGTTATCTCTGTAAGTATTATTGAGCTTTGTTCTGGTGTGCAGTTAAAATACTTAAATGATCCATTCATAATCTGCTTTAATAATTGTTCTGTGACACCAGAGAAGTAATTTGGGGCTATTTGTTTTTTCCTACTCCGAAATGCAAGACCTTTCTTTGTATGTTATACCTAGGCTTGTGCATTGTGAGTCTTTTCCATCTATGTAGTGGAATAGGCAAGACTGTTATCCTTTCTTGAGTGTTGAGCATTCTGGCTCTTTCTTTGGCCACAGGGAGCTTCCTCACTTGCCTGTGATTAGCAGTATTAGAAGGGAAAATACATAAGGCTCACTGTCCTTGAAGCTCTGTTTCCTTCAATATTCCTGGAATCTGCACTAGGGCGTTTCCTCCCTTCCTTCTTCCTGTTTACAGCATTCATCACAGTTGTTTCCTTTGAGGAATGACCAGTATTTTGAAAATATTGTTTCATGTATTTCATCTTTACTTTAGTTGTTATAGGCAGAAGGGCAAATCTGGTCTTTGTTGCTCTGTCTTGGCTAGCAGAAGTCATAACTTTAAATTTTGCCTAGTTTTCTTGTTTAAAAAATATTTAAAATTCTAAATGAAAAAATTCATCATTCTTTAATGTTTTCTGTTGTTGTTATTTTCTTTACAAACATTCTGTATTTGAAAGCTTGCAAAAAGTATTAACCTATGTTTTTCAAAGGTTTTACTCATTATGGTTTGTGTCTGAATCCCCCCACCCCAACACTTCATGCAGTCATAAAGGGCAGGCTTTTGGAGGCGACTGAATCTGACGTTTGTGATTCGTTCATTGTCTAGTGCTGGGATTGGGGATGTGAATGCTGTACCTGCCTGAGGGCAGGTAGCCTGTATACAGTGTACAGGAGGAAAAGAGGCTTGCTTCCCACTTATTGCTCTTGTGGCTTTTTTTGTCTTTTGCCACCATGAACTGTTGTCCCTTTACCAGGTGTCACCCTGCTTTGGAGCCTGTAGATTATGGACTGAAACCTCCACAAACTCTGAGCTAAATGAACCTTTCTTTCCTTTAATTTGGAATCATGTATTTTGTCTCAGCAATGAGAGAAAAGTGACTAAGACACTTGTGTTATTTTTATTTTGATATGCAGTCAGCCTTTTGTATTCAACAATTTCTACATTCTTAAACTCAACCAACTATGGATTAAAAAATATTTTTTAAAAAATGTGCAACTGTATTGATCATATGGTTTTCTTGTCATTATTCCCTAAACAAGACAGTATAACAACTATTTATACCTTCACTGTATTAGAACCTTCACTGTATTAGAACCTTCACTGTATTAGAACCTTCACTCTACTCTAGAGATGATATTAAGTTTACAAGAGGATGTCCATAAGTTATATGCAAATATGACTACATTTTCTGTGAGAGACTTGTGCACATCCTTGAATTTTGGTTTTCCAAGAGAGCCCTAGAACCAATCCACAGTAGGCACAGGAATGGCTCTTTGTCACTTACATGAAACCCACTTTACAGACCATTTCAAAAATAGCTGAAATGGAAAAAAAACACCTTTAATTGCATCACCCAACACAATGTTAATATACATTTTAACTTACTTCTCCCATGTATTTTTCTGTGTCTTTGTTTCTCATATAGTTCTAATGCCAGTGTGCATAGTATAATTATCCAGTGCATTGTATTATCGGCGTTCCATTTGTTATTGTTATCTTCACAATCCTAATGACTGAATTACATTTCTTCAAATAAATATATGGCAATTATAATACCTCAGCCTATATTATTAAGCATTTTAGATATTCCTTCTCAAACAGGATATATGAACCATAATTACCAGGCAGGGCACATACATGGAATATTAACTTTGCTCATGACTCTAAGATAGGACCCTAACTCAGTGTGCCATTTCATCTCTGTGACCTTTAGTACATTCAATAAAACTCTGACTGCAGAAGAATTAGAAGTAAAAATATAGTTCTTACTCGCCCAATCCATTTCTTGTTACTCTTGCACTATAGTTATAAATAGACTTTTGAAAACCCCATGTAATTTACATTTTACTATGTATATAACATCACAATGATTTCCTAATTAGTATTTTGCTTGGTTATTTTTAGGGAAGTTACTGTTCAAGTTGCTGTTTCCAAACACATCATAATGCACAGTTCTTTATCACCAAAAGATCAAGGTAAGATTAAGCCATGCTTAGGAAGATGGTATTGTATATGTTATAATAAGTAATTTAATTTCATTTAATGTCACTAACCTCTAATCACTAGGTATCTTACTTCCTAAAATTAAAAACAGAAAATATAATTATATATGAAAGTTTATTTAATTTGGTAAATTAATTAGGTGTATATGGATTCCGGAGTAACAAGGTTATGTCACCATAGGCTGATAACTTTTTCAGAACAAGGCTGTCCCATTCCATGCATAACTCACAGAACCCTATTAGTTGGCAGGTTGCTAGCACTAATAGATGACAATAGTGTTAGGAGTGTTAACTTTATTGAAGCAGAGTGACACATGTTTTAGTGAATAAAATATACATACATGTGTCCATGTGTTTACATACAAGGAGACACACATGGAAAGAGGGTATTTGCTTGTCCATTTCTTTCACCTGCTTCTCTCCATGCCTATTTTAAAAACATTAAAATTGCTTCCCCTTCATACAGATTATAAAAAATAATAACGAACAATTTTTTTTTTTTTTTGGTACGTGAAACTGAACGAGGTCCTTTCCACTGAGCTTTTATTTTTATTTGAGACAGAATCTCACTGAATGGCTAAGTTGCCTAGGTTGTGCTTAAACATATAATCCTCCTGCCTCAGCCTGGCAAGATGCTTGAATTACAGCTGTGCACCATGACACCCAGCTATCTTGATTTTAACAGAAGCCCCTGAAACTTTCAGAAAAGCAGTTTGCAAGTGGAAGTAAAGTCATTTCTTTAAAAAGTATAATTAAACTGTCTTCACTACAAAGGACACACTCTAACCTGTAGGAGAAAAAATAAATCTTTCTCCTGCCCTTATCTAATTTCTTCCATTAAAAAAAGAAATTTAGATGTGAGTATGAGAAAAATTATCTTTAATGATGCAAAATTAGACCCTGTAGTTCTTTGTCTTTATTCCCAGAGAATCTTTACTCCAGAAAGAATTCTGGCCTTTCCTGGAGTCCCCAAAATCATGCTATTGTCTCTTATTTCAGCCTTTGAGATTGGGACTGTACCAAGACAACAATAGTAACAAACAATAGCAACTTTCCAGATTTGACTGGGAGATTAAATAATATAATTGTTTTAAATATTAGCTCAATGCCTGCCCTCAAATTAAAACTCAGTATATTCTGTTTAAAAAAAAAAAAAAAATGGTAGGTTGATGTGGCTCAGTGTTAGAGCTCTTGCCTTCCAAGCAGAATGCCATGAGTTTGATCCCTAGCACCACAAAAAAAAAAAAAAAA